GCATTCGGATCCTACATGTATTTTTTCAGGCTCATAAAATATTTCGTCTTTTGGTGCTATTGTAATTAGGGCTCTTTATATTCTGTTTTCTAATTGTTTATTGCCTCTTTTTTCTGGCAGTTCTGTCAAGTTTTACATCATGTTATTCAGAGAGTAGATATTAGTGTTTATTAGTTGACTCCTTTATCATTACAGAGTGGCCCTCTTTATCCCCAGTAATCTTATTTGCTCCAAAACCTACTCTGTCTGATGTTGATATAGACATTTCAGCTCTCTCCTTACTAATGTGAACCTGGTTTGTCTTTTTCCTTCCTTTACTTTTTGACCAATTTGTATCCTTATATTTAAAGAGAGCTTGTTGCAGACAGCATGGAGTTGAGTGTTATTTTTCTATTAAGTCAGACAGTGTCTAGTGGTTGGTTGGTTGGTTGGGTGTGCAAACTACTTACTTTCAATGTGAGTATTGGTGTTGTTGGGTTTAAGTCCGCTGTCCTGCTGTGTGCCTGTGCAGTCCCCGCGGCGACACCTGGACTCTACCATTGAAAGCAGGCTTGAACTAACCTCACAAATGAGGAAAGGCGTAGATTTTCTCTTAAGATTGCCACTAGGGGGGCGCCTGGGTGGCTCAGTCATTAAGCATCTGCCTTCAGCTCAGGTCATGATCCCAGGGTCCTGGGATCGAGCCCTGCATGGGGCTCTCTACTCGGCAGGAGGCCTGCTTCTCCCTTTCCCACTCTCCCTGCTTCTGTTCCCTCTCGCTGTCTCTTTCATTCAGATATTCTAACGTGCCCTTTATTAGGGTTTTTATGCTCTCTCCACTGGGGCCTTGTAACCGGCAGTGAGTTCCCAGGCCCTGGTCACTTCTGGAACTGTGTTCCTGGGCTCTTCCTGTTCATTCTGTTCCCTAATGACGTTGCTGTTAGCGGAGAGGGTGTGCTGTTAGTCTTGTACTTGTATTTTTGGTTTCTGTATCCTAGCGCAGCCGAGATGGTCTGTTATATGGTTTCTCCTGTTTTTTCCAGATACACTGTAACTTTTACAAATACAATTTTCTTTTAAAAAATAATAATAATGTCGATGGGCTCTCTCCCCAATTCCCCCCACCCTACGCACCCCCACGATGCATTTCAGGACTCTCAGAACCTAGTGTTTCTGACTGTAGGAGGATGAGCTCCAGAGGAGCTGAGACCCGGCCTCAGCGGCCTCACCTCTACACATAGTTGTGCGAATACAGTAGAGTACGTTCAGGGGTGGAGGAACCCGTGTGGTTTAGACGAGGAACTGAGTATCCAGCCTCGCTGACCTGTTGTCCGGGAAAGTGGCTTACCGGGGTGGTCCTCGTCTCTGGCTGTCCGTCCCCTCTCCCCCGCGCCCCCGCCGTCCGCGGCGCTGCACTTAGATGGGCGCACGCGCGGCCTGGCACTCACCCGCCGCTGGCCACTGCCCCAGGTACCGAAAGGCTTCATGACGCCGCTGCACCGCGGCGTGTCCCGCAGGGTTGCTCGCACCTGACTGAGTAGGTGCAGCGGTCTGGGCCAGAGCCTCTGCAGCTGGTTTAAGCCAGGAAAGCGGGGCGTCGAGGCCGCTGTGAAAGCGGGTGCTGCCGAATACGCAGAGTCCGTGCGCGCCCCACCGGCCGCCGTGCGCGTCCCCTACGTGCGCGCGTCCCCTACGTGCGCGCGCCCACGAGCACGGCCGCCACACGTGCGCGCCCCCGCCCGCTCCCCGCGGGCCCTGGGCAGTTAGGAGGTTGGTGCCTTGTGTACACGTGAGAAAACCCGAGCGTGGGCAGGATTTTCGGGGCACAGTCCCTGGCTCTGGGTCGAGGACGGCCGGAACCTGCCTCCCCCGCCAGTCCCGGGCCCTGCTGCCCTGTCCGTGTGGCCTGACTCCGGCTGGGACCACAGCCCTGGGGACACTGTCACCTCGTGCGAGCTGAGCGGTTAAAAGGAATCCGTCGGGTCCCCGTCCAGCCCCCAGAACAAACCGGTTTCCTTCCACTTCTGCGCGTGAGGAGGACGGACACCAGCCCCCCCGTGGTGTCCAGCCTGGACTCCGCGTGGCTGGACGGCTTGGCCCGCCCTCCTGCCGGCGCTTGGCTCGCCGGACCCGGCAGCGTTCGTGCTCAGAATCCCTGAGACGCAAGGACCGCTTGAGGCGGCCGTCCCCTGCCTGCAGCCCTTGTCCTCCCCATGTTGGCGGTTGGCGCAGCCTTTTCTGCAGCCGAGCCTCGAACTCCTGCGCCGGCCGTGGTGGGAAGGCTGTGTCTTGGGGAAGAAGCAGTTTCGTGGCAGTTCGAGTCGGCCAGCAGGAAAACTTCCTGGATCTGGGCTGGTCGCCTTCGGGGACACTGAAAAGAGGATTTGGGCTGTAAAAGCCCGGTGGTCTGCCAGCCCCGCAGACTCCCGACCCCGCCTGTGGGGTCCGGGCTGTAGGTGACCGGACACCCCGCACGGGCTTCAACTTGAAACTGGGGTCATGAGCTTCTCCACTGGTAGGCGGTAACCAGCTTCCTAGGAGTCTTCACCAAGCAGATGTGTGGGTCAGAGTCTGACCAGAGAAGCAACCAGTAAGAGACAGAGACAGCCCGGGAGATCCTTTCCCAGGAACGCCTTCGGGCAGGAGCCGAGGCCGCCTCCACAGGGAGGGTTTTGTCTTCCTCTGGGAAAACCATGGTTCTGTTCTTCAGACTTGGCAGCTAAGTGGCTGCGGCCCACCCACGTCCTCAGGGTTCATCTCTCGAGCTGCAGGTCGGCTGACTGAGATGTCGACCCTAGCTACAGATACCTCCACGGGTGCTGCTCCCATTTGTGTCCAATAGTAAGCCATGATCTGTCCCATCTCGCTTTCCTGCCCCCGGTTAGTCTCTCTGGGGACAGCTGCCCCACCTGCTGTCACACTTCAGTCCTCATGGGCAGTCTGGCCAGTGAGGGACCTGTGGGGGCACCTGCTGGCCCCAAGCAGAGCAGGAGGGCGGCTGCCCGCCCCCCCCGCGTGCATGCTCCCTTCCTGAGTGGGACTGAGATGTCACAGGCTGTAGTGAGTATGTCCAGGAGAAGCAGGCCTAGCGTGTGTCTGGAGCACCTCCACCTCCCAGGGACGCCATGTGGGCTCTGTCCTCCTGCGCTGGGCATGTGGCTCTCCTCTGCTACACTCTTTTCCAGGCACCTGCCATCTCTGGGTGACTGTCTTAGAGCCCCCAGCAGTCTGCCCTTGAAGGAGTAGAAGGAAAACCCGGCTCATGAATGCCGCACGCCCATACGGGCCTCGGACTACATCTGACTCCACTGTCCACACTTTCCTAGCCCAGGAAGGAAGGGGCAAAGGCTCGTGGTGGCGCGGCTCATCTGCTGCTCCTCGGCAAGCCCGGGGGGTGGTGCGGAGAGGGGGGCGGGCAAATGTGGCCTTTCCGGGGTGTGGGGGCTCTAGCTGTCTGCTTGTTCTCTTCTGTGGACTTGGGGATCTGAGTGCCAGGAGAGTCCCTCCCCGGGCACCAGTGACAGGATGTGCCCCATGCACCTGCCAGCACCTGTCACAGCCTCCGTCCGTGAGTCACCTGTTACTTGGGGACCTCCTCCAGGACCCTGTTCACAGGTTCCAGACCATTTTTTACTTTCTGCTTAGGTTTTAGGGGTATTTTATTTTTATTAAAGGATTTTTTTTTTTTTTTTTGCTTGTCTGCATTTCCAACCATCTTTTGTTCCTTCCGTTCCTGTGTTATCTCAGCCCCGTTGCTGCGATGCCTTGCCTCCGCTCCTCCTCTCAGACGGCACGGACGACAAATGTTTGGGGCTCAGGGCTTCTGTAGCTGATGGCTTGAAGTGGGGGCATGTTCCTTCACAGAACACGATGGTAGGGCTCGGAGTTCAGTGTCAATAATAGTAAAGATGAGAAAGGAAACACAACTGTTGGCCTCGAGCTTTAGCTCTGTGTCTATGAGACTGGACACCCTTGCATCAGGTCTGCCCAGGACCATCCACAGATCCTCCCCTCACGTTGTCACGGAGCTGAGTCTTACCTTGTGTGGCAAGTGCTTGGATGGTGTGCTGTGGGGAGTGGGGAGACAGAGGCCTTGCTGGGGTCATGTGAGCGCCTGTCGCTCAAGCCCAGTCCTGCAACCCACATACGGTGGTTCAGAGCCTCTGAGAGGGAACTGACGATATTTAAACTTCCTACAAAAAGAAGTAGTTACAAATTGATGATATGGAAAAACTAAACATATCACAAATTTATCAGTACATGTTGTGCGTTACTTACAGATTAATGGGCATTCAAGTGTACCTGTGCTCTAGAGAATTCTAGATTTTATGTAGAAACACCTGTAAAACCCTGACTTTTATGAAGCTGGAAATAGACGGAGCCATAATAATAAACGGGATGGGCATCCGCAGTGAAGGACAATATAAAGAAAAATGGGCAGCACGTCGTATGAGGGGGTCACTCACACTCCAGAGAAATCTCTTCCTAAGTCATTTCTTCCTGAGTCCAGATAGACGAAGACAGCGACCGTCCAGCCCCAGGCACAGTTGGTGGGTCTGGTCTCTCAGTGCCGATCGCAGGCACCTCTGGGGCAGGCGGTCAGTTCTTCAGTCTCTCCTGTTTCCTCCATGATCTCATCCTTTTCTTCCCAGCACTACACCGGCCTCCTTGCTTGGCACTTACACACGAAGAGACTGAGGGTTCCCCACTGCCTGCTGGCACTGGCTGGTGCTAGTTGTCCGTGAATCTGGCAGCTCAGAGTCGAGCAGGAGTCTCGGTAGCCGGCCGTCTATGGGCCACGTTTCCTGCTGCGCTCCTGACCCCAATTCTCACTGGGGATGCTCGCTGCTTCCGTAATCTTAAGAATAAGGATGAGCCAGATAACTGCTAGAAGCAGCTATCATTACAATTAAAATGTTTTCTGTAAATATTTTTTAAGGTTTCCTGTAAATGTTTTTTTAAATGTTTTCTGTAAATATCTTGAATGTCCTGGTTATGACTCAAGAATGTGTGGATTTTAGTTTGCAGTTAACATGTTTCGAACATTACCACCTTCCTCCAATCCTACGGGAGCAGAATTTGACCCCGAGGAAGACGAGCCCACATTAGAAGCAGCCTGGCCTCATCTACAGGTACTGAACTCTGAAAATGCCCCAGAAACAAGGGCACGAATTAAATGTGTGTATTCATGGGTTTTTCTCTAAAGCAAGTGTGCCAGCTTCTAGGGCCTCACTCCAGTTTACTGCAAGCAGACCTCTGACTTTGCAAACCTGTGCATCTAAGAAAGGTATTTTAGCGGATGTTTGTTTGGACCCCTTGATACGAACTACAAAGATACATAATTGCCAGTATGTTGGTAATGAAAGTGACCTCCTCGCCGATAGCCATTAGATCAAGGCCTTTTGCAGCTAGGTGCTCCCCCCACCCCATTTTCAGGATGTAGATATGATGCGCCCCAAAGCTCCCCTGCTAACTTGCGCATTTGTAAGGCAAAAAGTTGATCGTAGATCAGACTGGATGCCTGAGAAGAACCTGAGCCCAGCGCAAGCAGCATGTGTGCAAGCCATGCGCCACACCGGGGCCTGGGTCGTCCACAGGAGGGGAGATAGAGAGGGGAAAGCTGGGAACGAGCAAGATTGGGAACAGATCACAAAGGGGGGCTGTCTCGGGGGCAGCATGCAACCCACTTGTGAAGGGGAGGAGCAGCGTCCCAGCCCTGGGTGACCGCGTCCGTGACCCGCTCACCGAGCCGTCCCAGCTTCCTGTCCACCTGGCTCTGCCAGGACACATGCCCATGGCGGGTGCAGGTCCCAGCCCGCTGTAGCTGCTGCGCACTGTGGTCTCCCGGCAGCCTCAGCTGAGCACCAGTAACCCCCCACTGCGGGTATCATTTTGTTTAAATGCTATTTAAGGCTGTAGTCTGTGGTTCTGAGCTAAATAAAACAATACCATCTTCAGTTGTAATTAAATGAAGCCATAGCATTTGGACTTAATTCTGTAGATATGTGGCTTTTTATTAAGGCTTAATATTTTCAGACAGAGATTCAACTCATGGTGTATCTTTAATCTCCAGCTAATAAAATACCATGTTGTTTGACTCATTGTTGTTTTTTTCCTCCTAGCTTGTTTATGAATTTTTCTTAAGATTTTTAGAGTCTCCAGATTTCCAACCTAATATAGCGAAGAAATATATCGACCAGAAGTTTGTATTGCAGGTAAGGTCGATTAGCGGAAGCTTCAAAAGCCCTAAACTACAGCGCGGGAAGTGCCCATTCACTGAGTGTCTTTTTCTCCTTGAAGCTTTTAGAGCTCTTCGACAGCGAAGATCCTCGAGAGAGAGATTTTCTTAAAACTACCCTTCACAGAATCTATGGAAAATTCTTAGGCTTAAGAGCTTACATCAGAAAACAGATAAATAATATATTTTATAGGTAAGTCGGCGTGTGGGTGATGTGTCCCTGTTTCCATGATGACGGTCGTGTTCACAGTCGGTGCTCCTCCCCACCCCAAGCCCATCATTCCCTTCGGCAAGTGACTGGGGAGTGGGAGCGGCCTGCCCGTGGTGTGCTGGGCGGCAGTGTCCCCCTTCTGCCTCCCCCGCCCCTCCTTCTCTGCCCGCTCCCCTCCCTCACCCACCCCCCCCATCTCACCACACTGCCTTCCTCTGTTTGCGTTTTCACCCAGGTGCCCGGGGGGGTGGGGGGGTCCTAGAACCCATGCAAAGCCAGCTGTCACTCCTTCCCCCTGCACATTACTTCATCCCCCCCTGCCCCCGATGCATCTCAGAGAGCGGGCGGGAGGGAGGAGTAAGCAGGGGTCCTTAGTAGCTCTCCCAAACTAGAGAACTGTACCGGAGGTCTGGAAACCCTGTCTACCTCGGGGCAGAGGAGGGCCTGCTGGAAGCAGCAGATGTAGGTGGCACGGTCATCCCTAGGCCTGTGGGACTGCAGAGACCAGTCAGTCTGGGGAGCTGGGTGCAGAAGTTGCCCTGTCTGGGTTTACATAGAGGAGGGCACAGCCCCATGGCTCATGAAAGAATGTTCCGTGACATTCCAAGTGCGGTTTTCACCTTAACTCCGCCCCATCTTCCTCCTTACCCTGGCCACAGCTTCTCATTGACTCTTAAAGTCTGAACACCCCTCAGTCCGCCTGCCACTGTCCCCACGGTTCTGCCACCACCTGAGTCACGTGGATGACTGTCCACATTTGGTTGGATGAGCCTAAGCCCTGGGCGTGGCCGGCCCCCTCGCTTGTGTCTCTGCTCACCTCCAGGCCCCTTCCACACAAGCGCCTCCCGGAACAGTCTTTCCACCCGCCCTTGGCCGCAGCCTCAGAGGTTTGCAGACGCGGCCCCACGCCAGAAAGCCCCCCTGGCTTGGCAGACCGGTCTCCCCGCGGCGCAGGCATTGTTCTGGCTGCTTTACCACATGAGTCCAGCAACAGCTTCGCGCCTGTGGTGGCACCAGATGAAGGCTGATGCGTGAAAGGCTTAATACGTCTTGGCCGTCCCTGGAGAGCTCACCGTGCGCAGTTTATTCTGAGAATTTGGGCTTCCCGGGTCAGCTTGCCTTGAAGGCCCCTGACCCCAGGCTGGCTCAAGGTAGTGACAGATCCCAGCGGTGACAGCCGTGTGTGTAGGTCCCCCCATGAGATAAAGCGGACAGGTTTCACACTGTCGGGCCATGGGGCCTCAGTGCGGGTGATGTACAGGCCCTCTCCAGGAGCGCCACAGAGGCCAGGCGTGTCCCTTCTTAGGCACAGTGACCCAGCAAGGGAGAGGGGGGCAGAGACAGATGGAAAGCCCACCATGGAGAACAGCAGCCTCGGGGGCTTCTGGAACCTGTCCCTCTGTGATCAGAGAAGGACATCGTGTTTCCTGGGTGTTGTCTTCCTCGCACCTTCTTGGCCTCGTGCTTCCTTCTGAACGGGGTCATTACACAGCAGAGGTACTTCTCTATTGAAACATTTTATACATTGTTTAAACAGCAAAGAACAGGTACAATTTAAATTCTGATCTTTTGGGGCGCCTGGGTGGCTCAGTGGGTTAAGCCGCTGCCTTGGGCTCAGGTCATGATCTCAGGATCCTGGGATCGAGCCCTGCATCGGACTCTCTTCTCAGCAGGGGACCTGCTTCCCTTCCCCTCTCTCTCTCTCTGCCTGCCTCTCTGCCTACTTGTGATCTCTGTCAAATAAATAAATAAAATCTTTTAAAAATAAATAAATAAACAAACAAACAAATAAATAAAATTCTGATCTTTTAGGCCCAAAATTAAAGTGAGGGTTGTTGGTTTTTTTTTTTTTTTTTAATTAAAATGGGGTTTGTTCAGAGAGCAGAATCACAAATCGTGAAGAATCTCAGTACAATAACGAAAACATTTAAATAATTTAGAAGTCACTGTGCTTGATTTCGTTCTCACCGAGTGCCCCAGGCTGGCGTGTGGTGCTCTTGGGTTTCAGCCATCTATTCTGTCACTGTCGTTCCTGACCGATGCCATCAAAAGCGCACATTGTGTGGATTCCCGCCTTCCACACCTCCGATTTCCTGCGGGAAGGAAGGAAGGAGAAGGATCGTGAGAGAAGTCTGTGGCATGACCCAATCTTGGAAGAAAAGATCTCTGTAGCCTGTTTGGTTTATCACTGAAAGTGTTAAAGTCAAGCCCCTGTTTGGATAGTTTCTCCTTCTGATGAGCGCGTGGGAACTGGGAGCTACAGGGATCCACACTGTTGACGGCCCAGCCACGGCGAGCTGGAACCCTGGAGTGAGCAGGGGCAGCCCAGGGCTCTGGGTCTGTTACAGCCCAGCGGCTGGAATCAGCAACGGCCGATGAGTTTCTCGAAGATCCATAATCAGAGCTGGGCTCCGTGGGCAGTTCACTGCCGCCCACGGTCTGTGGGGGCCGACCGTGCAGGATGGCTCCCGGCAGGACCTCAGGTGGCTCCCAGGAAGGAAGAAGCGGGAGCCGCCCGTCCTCCACAAGGCTCGGCCGGTAACTGGAGCAGAGTCCCTTCTCCCTTCTGTGCTGATGCAAGCGACTCAGGACGACAGAGCTGCGGGGAGGGAGACAGATTCCGCCTCTTCATGTGAGGCTCAGGGCACATCCCGCGGGGAGGAAAGATACTGATAGTGTCCGTTCTGGAGACCGCCTCCAGTAAGCAGGTTCTGGCTCAGTTTTTAGAGGGTCCTGACTGTTTTTTGCTGGAAAAGTGAGAAACACGGTCCGACTCCACATGCAGACGTCTTCATTATGGCTTTCTCCCCACTCCGCACCTTCCTCTCTTGTCCCTCTCAGGAAAAGGTAAAAGGAGATCTGGTTTCTCTTTTTTATATCTATTTCAAGTAAGGTCAAATAAATAGAAACAGAATTTTGTTAGCTGATTCAAAGAGTCACATGCACCCCAGTGTTTAGAGCAGCAATGTCCACAGTAGCCAAATTGCCGACAGAGCCCAGATGTCCATGGACAGACGAACGGGTAAAGAAGATACTGTGTATACGTGCAGTGGAGTATCACTCAGCCGTCAAAAAGAAGGAGAGCTTGCTGTTTGCAGTGACATGGATGGAACTGGAGGGTGTTATGCTGAGCAAAATAAGAGAAAGACAGTTGTCACAGGATTTCTCTCGAATGTGGAATTTAAGAAACACATGAACACAGGTGAAGGGAAAATCAAGTAAGATGAAATCAGAGAGGGAGGCAAACCGTAAGAGACTCTTAACAAATGGGGCTGCTGGAGGGGAGGGGGGTGGGGGGATGGGGTAACTGGGTGACGGGCATTAAGGAGGTCACGTGATGGAATGAGCCCTGGGTGTCACATGCGACTGATGAATCACTGAGTTGCCCCTGAAACCAGTGCTAGACTGTATGTTAACTAGCTTGAAGTTAAATTTTTAAAAAAACTATCTCTGATGAAGAAAAGAAACGAAGAACTTATCAAGAAGAATATAGTGATGCTGATTAGGAAAACAAAATGTCCAACAGCAGAAGGCCGTCCTTGTTCACATGTGACAGCTGGAGCGTGTAGAGCCCGAGCCCAGCAGAGGCCCGGAGCCGAGCCCCGGGGTCTGCGGGTGCCTCGTGCTGTCCTGCTGCCTTCCCAGCCCCCCCGGGGTCGTCGAGCGGAGCAGAGAGTCAGCTGGCGTGGCTGCACTTCGTACAAAGCTCCAACTTTGCACGTGGAAACTGAGAAAACAAGCAACATTCAAGTTGAGTTTTATAAATCTGAGCACGTCCGAGCGCAGACACAGCACGAAGGATGGGGCTCCAGGGGGTCACCGCCCAGTCTCCAGGCAGGTGCATCACAGAGCCCGGTGGGGAGTTGAGGGCTGTGTCCCCTGCCGTAGGACCATACCGCCTGCTTCTCACCAGACAGGTGCCCGTGCTGTCTGGGTCACTCCCCACTACCTGTTCATGCCGTGGCCACACTCATTTCTGTGGCACTGTGGTTCTCTGTTCAGTGGCTGTAGCCGACCCATGTGAGGCACTCGGGGGGCCGCCCTGCGTGTATGCCTTGCCCACCTCCTGTCCGCGGCCCACTCCCCGCTCCATTTCATAGACCTTTGCTCCAGCCCTGCCTTCTCCCTCCCGCTCGCCCCGTCCAGACATCTGTCAGCCCTCCTTCATGGCCTGGTTCAAGTACCAGACCTTCCGAGAATTCTGCCCATTCCAGAATGCAGCAGTGTCAAGGCCCACCCTTCAGGAGCATTTCACATGCTGTGGATATTTTACCTGTTCTTTACCTTGAGGTCCCGTGTCCATTCATCGCAAATAAGAACAACGAAATTTCAGAGTCGTATTTTTTTTTTTAATCATCACAAACTCTTACTTTTGGCGTAGTGCTGTCTCTAAACTGTTCTTGTCAACGGAGAGGCAGAATCCTTTTTCAGACCCCACTCCCGGCAGGCAGGCGCCCATGCCTTGGTTGAAGTTGAGATGGACTCCAGGCGAGCACGATGTGGGCAGGAGTGGGCTGCTGGCTTCTGAGGAAATCCTCGGGAGCTGGGGAGATGTTGCCCTGTTCAGTGTCCCTGTTCTTTCTCATAGTTCCCAGCCTGTCAACGTGTTCTAAGCATGGGACAGAAGTTGCAGGGGCCATGGGAGCCCACTGGGCAGGCACAGCGTGAGAGGCTTCTCAGGATGCAGATTGGCTGCTCGTACTGGGGTTCCAGGAGTGGGTGCTTGAATCCGTGAGGGGCCATGCGAGGTGTCTATAAGGAAGCAGGCAAGACAGCCCAAGTGGGCAGGAAGGGACTTCTGCCCTGGCACAGACCCAGCCAATTGTTGGAGGTTTTAAAACTGAGGAAGGTGTGGGTACCTGGGTGGCTCAGTGGGTTAAAGCCTCTGCCCTCGGCTCAGGTCCTGATCCCAGGATCTTGGGATTGATCTCCACGTCGGGCTCTCTGCTCAGCGGGGAGCCTGCTTCCTTCTCTCTCTCTCTCTGCCTGCCTCTCTGCCTACTTGTGATCTCTGTCTGTCAAATAAATAAAATCTTCAAAAAAAAAAAAACTGAGGAAGGTGTCGAGTTAGGTTGGCAGATGGCAAATTGCTCATCACCACCTCTGGGCGGCTAATGTAGGGGAGCTCATAGTACAGACCCTACAGCCTTTCTCCGTCTTTGGAAATCCAACATTTAAGCAGACCCATGCGCTCTGCCCTCCAGGTCTTTGCACACCACCCTCCCCGCAAAGCACCTTGTTTCCTTATTCAGAGGATTTTAGTCTTTACAGTTGTTACTTCAGTGTCGAATTCTAAGTGGCATGTTGCTTCTTCTAGGTTTATTTATGAAACAGAGCATCACAATGGCATAGCAGAGTTACTGGAAATCCTGGGGAGGTGAGTCGTCTCTGTTCCTGGCAGCGAGTGGAATGGATTCCAGAATGATTCAGCCCACTGAGTCCAGCAGCCCTCCCCAGAGCGAGGCGACTGAAACCATTCCCAGAGGAACTAAGACCTCTCTTGATGGAAGGGGTTGGTGAGGTCTGGGGTTAGAAGCCACCGAAGAGAAACCCCACTGGGTGCCTGTCTCGGCACGCAGGTGCTGTTTCACACCCCTCATCAAAGACGGTTACCTTAAGGTTTATCTGTGACACCTGGAAGAATGGATCATTTACTGTACACGGGCGGTGTTGAGTAAATGCTAATATTTCAAATTGCTTTGGTTTTATAACTTTTTTATAAATGTTCTTAAAAGTAATTAACGTTTTAAAAATTTTACCATCTTAAGCCAAGCGGAGTTCTTGCTTGCTAAATCAATGACCTATAGATTTTATATCAGACCTCCAACCCACTGTTTCCCAGAGTTCCTCGGGGTTCCCCAGTTGAATAAGCTTGGAAGTGCTCTCCCCCAGCACATTCCTCAGGGATTCAGCTGCATCAGCAGCTAAAGGTTCCGAGGGACACTGCAGGGAGGGAAGCTGTGTCCATCCCTGGAGCTTTGGGAACACAGGAAGCCTGTCTCCGGGAACACAGGTGTCATCTGATCTATGTGCGCTCCAGCAACACTGAGAAAACCGTCCTTGCTATTTTAGATATAATCTGAAAAAACCCTTAGTCCTCGTGCAGAAGTCTACTTTGACCTGTTTCAGCACAGTCGGCCGGTTACTCTCTCTCAGTAGAGTATGGTGAGCGGTTGAGGGCCCCTTACTAGTTGTATTACCTTCCTTAACTAGTCTTGGCCACTGTTTTCTTAGTAAAGTGGGGAAATCCACTCACCTCCAACATGTTGCAAGGAGGGCATTAAGTGTCTGCACAGCCCGGTGTGTCACAAAGAGGACTCTGCTTCCTGCTGCTGGGATCCAGAAGAGGTGTTTGACCTTGAGGGTCTCCCAGATGCAAATGAGCAGGTCATCCCTAATGTTCATTTCAGACAGCCTGTGGCACACACGTGTGCAGGACCCCTAGAGGGTGCAGAACAGTCTAGAAATTGCTGTCACTGCTCCATAGCTCCAACACATGTCTGGGCTTGCCAAATAATAAAACCAAGTAGAGAAAAAGGAAGCCCCCTCGCCCAGCTGGAAACCAGTGGGTACGCTACTTAATGTTAGAGACAAAGCTTCAGTATGGAGGCAGGAGTGAGTTTTTTGTAGAAGGCAATGACTTCCTAGCTGATTTGCAGCCAACTCCCATCCTGCACACTCAGATTCCGTCCTGCCAGCATTAGAGTAACAAACCCAAATTCCTCTAGAGAGGTGCCAATTCCTAAAAATGGATGAAGGCAAAGGGAAGGTGCCGGGGTTGGGGTGCCAATTCCTAAAAATGGATGAAGGCAAAGGGAAGGTGCCGGGGTTGGGCAGACCCAGAGCAGGGGTCCCGCAGGAGCTGCCCGGCCTCCACGGCCTGTCTAAAGAAGGAGGCTTTGTCCCCAGGGACTCGTGCGTTTTTGGGTAACCCAGAACAAATCCAAAATTTTAGAATTATCTTACACATAACAAAGATAAAAATGACCGTGCTTCTTGGAAGGTAGTTTTCTTTTTCATTTCTGTTAATATCGTCTTTTGTACAGTGTACTTTTTGCTTACCAATTTTTATGCTGAAAACGAGAAAAGAAAAACCAAGATTTTTTTTAATCTGGAAATTATATTCAAACTTCGAATAAATTCTGTTTTCACAGTATAATTAATGGATTTGCCTTACCACTAAAAGAAGAGCACAAGATTTTCTTACTGAAGGTGTTGCTACCTTTGCACAAAGTGAAATCTCTGAGTGTCTACCATCCACAGGTAAGGGGTGCCCAGCGGTGACGCGCAGGTGGGGACACTCGCTAGCACAGGGTCTCCACGTGAGCACTGATGAGTCTGAGACACAGGATCCCAGCCTGTTACTGGGAGTGTCCTCTTTGTTATGTCCCATTGCCAATGTAGGTAATTGAAAGGATACAAGGGTCAAGAGATTCCCTCTTAAGAAAATCAGAAACAGGGGTGCCTGGGTGGCTCAGTGGGTTGAAGCCTCTGCCTTCAGCTCAGGTCATGATCCCAGGGTCCTGGGATCGAGCCCCGAATCGGGCTCTCTGCTCAGCGGGGAGCCTGCTTCCCCCTCTCTCTCTGTCTCTGCCCGCCTCTCTGTCTACTTGTGATCTCTGTCTGTCAAATAAATAAATAAAATCTTAAAAAAAAAATCAGAAACATCTCAGGAATGGAGAATTTCAGAATTCGTTCTAAGCACAGAGAAGGGGGTGACTCACTCAATGACAGGAGTCAAGGGCACTTCTCAGAGGAAGTTTTCTGTCAGATTTTAAATCTGGCTCCTTCAAGAAGAAGCCTCTGTCTGTGGCCAGTGACAAAGCTGTGGGCTTTCTGTAGTTTGCAGAAATCTGATGACAGTTACCCTGAACACCTGGTCCCTAAGTGGTTCCTACCCGGTTAGGCGGCTGCACTTACCCACAAGACGTGGTCCCTCCTTCGATCTCGCCCCCATGAGCCCTGCATGGACAGGTGCGGAGGGTCGGGGACAAGCCTGGCAGCCAGCGGGCTCCCCCGTCCTGCAGGCCCTCACGCTGGATGGCACAGTGTGTTGGCACAGGCTCAGTCACATGAAGTGTATTTTTTTTTTTTTTAAGATTTGATTTATTTATTTGACAGAGAGAGATCACAAGTAGGCAGAGAGGCAGGCAGAGAGAGAAGGGGAAGCAGGCTCCCTGCTGAACAGAGAGCCCGGCACAGTGCTCAATCCCAGGACCCTAGGATCATGACCCAAAGGCAGAGTCCTTAACCCACTGAGCCACCCAGGCGCCCCAGGAAGTGTATTCTTTATGGGAATCTTGGCATGTCAGGTTCCTGGGAAGTATTTTACTTCGTGGTGGTTTTTTTTCCCCCTTCTGCTGTTAATGGGTGATGGTCACTGTACTTCCAGCCAGCTTGTTATCCTGTTGTTCTACAGAAGAGATTAATAGTTCAGTGGTTTAAGGTGCAACCAGATTTTAATTTGTCTTTTTCCAGCTGTTAGGTTACTTGTTAATTAAAATCTCTAAGAAGAGGGTGAGGAAAATCCCCATCAAACCAAGGCTGACTTGTCGATATTTTATATTCGTCTGAAAAACTGTTGGCTGATTTTTTTTAGCTTTCTGCTGTGTCTTGTCCCTGAGAGTCCCCCTCAGAGCACCAGTGTCGGCCCGCCCCGGGGTGGGGGAGGCGTTGCCGTTTTGGAGGGAAATGCTAATGCCCCCTCTCCTGTACTTCGCAGCTGGCGTACTGTGTTGTGCAGTTTTTAGAAAAGGACAGCACCCTCACTGAACCAGTAAGTATGCGCTCTGGCTGGGACCTTGGTCCGGGCGCCGGTGCACCCATGATGTGGCCTGTGGGCGTCCCCAGATGTCCTATCACCGTGGCTCCACTGGCCAAGTAGCTGCTCGGAGCACGTCATCACCTGCGGTCACGCTGACAAACACACTGCTTCCCTTCACGTGTCATGTGTTCAGAGTGTGGCGACTTGGATTACAGGGTCCTTTACCGCGGTGATGATCATACGTGAGCAGATTGCCTCTTCCCTGAGCTGGACCACAGTCCTCCGAACAGGAGGCGCTGGCGTGTGGATCGCGCACCCCTGAGCGGCAGTATTCCTCCCGGGTCCGAGGGTAGCTGCTCCGTGATCACCACATCATAAGTGCCCGGTGGCCGCTGTTGAGCGTGTCGATTCCCAGATTTCTCGGCCTGTTATTGTGTCTAAAAACGAAGGCTGTCATATCCTAGATTAGCCAAGTGGAAGGTGTGGGGGGCCGGTGTAAGCCTTTGAATACGCTTTTTTTGGTCGCTTTATTGAGCTATAATCCATATACCATACGTCTCACCCATTTGAAATGTACAATTCAGTGGCTCTTTGGTATATTACGTTATTAATTTTCTTTATGATAAAGTACGTGTAGCATAAAATGCAGTGTGCCATTTTCACTGTACATGAGTGGGGCATTAATTACATCCCAGTGCTGCCCAGCTGTCAGCACGGTTCCCAGAACTTGGTTATCATCCCAGACAGAAGCTCTGATCCCCCCGAACGCCAACTCCTGCTTTCCCCCTGCGCACCCCTGGTGGCCTCTCACCTGCTTTCCGTGTCCACGAGTTGGCCTCGTCCGGGCGCGGGTGGACTCGTGCAGGATGTCGTCAGGGTTCAGACCCGCCTTGCCTGTGTCCGAACTCGGTCCCCGGGTGCGGCTGGATGGACTCCCTTGAATTCTGTTCATCCGCTCCCCTGCCGGCAGATGCTGGGGTCGCTGTGAGCGTGGGTGCCAGGGGTCTGTGCAGGTCCCCGCTCTCGGCCCTGTCGGTTGTACAGCTCGAGGGGCAGTGCTGGGTCAGCTAGTGTTTCTGTGCTTAGCTCTGGGACGAGCTACCCCACTGCCCGCCCGCCCCATCCCCCCAGCAGATACACGGGCTCTGCGCCCTCCACATCCTCGCCAGCACTCGGGGTCATCCCTTTTTTCATCCTGGCCATCTAGTGAGCATGTGGTGGCGTCTCTCGGGGGCTCTTTGATTGGCATGTCCCTCCCGGCTGAAGAAATTCGGCATCTCTTCATGCACTGGTTGGTCACCTGGTGTGGACCTACCCCTTCAGACCCACTGCCCGTGTTTTATCCGCCAGGCAGTTTCTTACCATTGAGTAACAAAGTGAGAAGTACGGAGTGTCAGCTGCAGCGTTTGAGTACTCTTTCTGAAGCTAACCGTTGGGATAGAAAAGGCAAATGTCATTCCAGCATTCTCCCTCCCCGTGGCCGCCTCCACAGTGGTCCCATGAGGTTGTGAGTGTTACGGTAGAAACACGCAAGAAATGCATAGTTTCTCTGTTTCTGGGCCACACTAGCTCCCGATCTCTGCTTTCTTCTGAACCCCATGCACTGACTCCCGGAGTCACCCGGCAACTCCGGAAGAGCCCTCGACCACAGCCCCAGGGTCCTGCACACCTCTGCCTCCTCCGAGATTCTGGAAGCCCCCACAGAGAAGCACCAAACTTAGCAGACATCAGTGTCAAACCCAGAGTGTTTTCTCCCTTTCAGGGTCAGGTTATTTTTATCCCCCTTGACTAAACGGAAGACGTGTCTCGGTGGGGAAGGACAGCTGAGGTGGCCCCAGTGATCAAGTCTCTTCTCCAGTGGGGCCACGTCCTCAGGGCCTGTGTCTGTGTTGGACAGTGGCTCCCCACCAAGGGGTTGGAACCATTACTGAAGACACGTATGGAAAGAGATTCTGGCACACGCCCTGCCTTTTCTACCTCAGAAATAAGGGAAAGAAAAACACGGAAGGAAAGAAAAAGCGTGCACTTCCTGATTTTTCTCTGTGTGTATTTCTCACACGCTCCAGGGACTGAAGAATTCACCAGACGCTGCGCCACGTTCGCCGCAGGCCAGGCCCCCACCGTAGTGCCCCGGTCCCCGGCCAGGTCTGTCACAGCCCGAGTCCTAATCCTGCCCAGCACGCCCCTGTTCTTCCTTCCCCAGAGATGAGTGCGAGAGCTGACAGCAGTTGGCGGGAGCGGGAGCTCTTGGCCGTAGTTGTCTGACGGAAGGAGAGAGGCAGCCGCTGGCCTCCGCTGGGTCCTTCCGTCCTAGACCGTAAGCTCTGAGTTGGCACGGGCGTGGAGAAGCCCCCGCACAGCCGGTCCCAGGACTGCCACCCGGATTCACTCCGTTCCCGGATCTCCTGCAGCACAGGCTGCATACCAGTGCTCCGTGGACTACAGAAAGCAGACTTTGTTTTCTGCACATCAAAACCATGCAGACCCTCACCTCAGGGAACTCCTATCTTTGAAGTTCCCATGTTCTGAAATACAGAGGCTGCTCGTCTTCCTTCAGCATTGAAAGCTTGTCGACAAGAAGATGAACGGGATAAAGTCTCGTGAAGGTGTGCGTCCACTTGGCAGTGCTGAGGAGGACATGGCACCCACGGGGGGGTCTCAGGGTCCGCACCCAAGGCTCTCCTGAAGCCAGTGTGGCCAAGGTCAAGAATGTTTAAAGTACGATCCATTTAAAAGACCTGCATCACTCCCGTTCAAGGTCTGCAATTAATATTTTCTTTGTGAACTGTGTGTAGCGCTCAGAAACCCTCTTGAGCACATATGCTACTGTTGTACGAACAATACAAGCTCATCCGATCACAGGTGGAAGTAAGATCACGTTACGTTGTCGTCCGCCTGTTTCTTCAGGATAATTGACTTCTGCTACAGGATCTGGTGGGAACCCCCTTTTTCCTGGTGTGTCGGGGAGGGGCTCGCGTGCCCTCCCCAGCCCCGTCCAGAGAGCAGCAACCCCGTCGAGTCTCCAAAGGAGAGCTCAGTGCATGACCTGCGCCCAGCAGCAGACGGACGCTTTTGCCTCGATGAGCTTCACCAGGCAGGCCTCTCTTTTGCAAAGTGCTGCTGCCTTCTGAAACCGTGGTATCGAGCATCGGTCACTCCAGATGGTGTGATAAGTTGGTCCAGCATGGGGCTCCGATTCCAGAAATAAAACCTCTTCTAGAGACATTGAATAGCTAATGCCATTGTGTTCTGCGTCTCACACGCTAATGTGTTTTTCCTAACAAAGTACCATTTGACAAATGACAAGGAAGAGTGGGTTTGGGAACTGACTGACATCTGCCGTAATGTTTTGGGGTTTTTTTAATGATTTTTTAAAGATTTTATTATTTATTAGAAAGATGGAGAGAGACCATAAGTAGGCAAAGCAGCAGGCAGAGGGAGAGGGAGAAGCAGGCTCTCCGCTGAGCAGGGAGCCCGATGCAGGGCTTGATCCCAGGACCCCGGGATCCCAACCTGAGCCGAAGGCAGCCGCTCAACCGACTGAGCCAACCAGGCACCCTGACATCTGCCGTAATCTTAATCATGGTCCCCACAGTGGGGAGTAGTAGCTGGTCACTAAATGTCCAACGGTTTTGAGCAAAAAGTAGGACCAAAATCATTAAACGCTGGATTTTTTAAGGAAATCCCTTCAGAGACAATCATGTTGTAAAGTTTTACATCAGACTCCAAAACGAGGAGCATAGTCTTTTTTATAAATGTTGGAGTTTCATAAAGTGTAACATCATAAAAGACCATCTTGGAGCCTGAAGGCCAAAAGCGTTAAGCGGAGTTGTTCGGAATGGCTGCTGTTGAAAGGCCCATCGTGTTTTAGCCACAGTCAGGATGTCACCGCTGGCCTGCCCAGCCGTCAGGTGCCGTCTGCAGGGTTGCGGAGGATGGGCCGGTGGAGAACACCCACCCGCCAGCCGGAAGGAGCAGGCACTTGCCGTGATTTTCGTGGCGGTCCCGACACTAGTGAGGGGCTGGGACACTGGTTCCTGAAATGGTGGTGATGGGCTGCGGTCGTGTTCTGGGCCCTTGTGCTCTTTCAGAGTGAAGACAGCTGCACTCTAGAAATGTTACTCACCCTCACCGAATTGAATGTGACACTCTGGGTGGACGATCTTTACTGGTATGGTTGTGATGGGAAATTTGGGAACTATAGGAGTGAGATAGAGAAAGGTTGCCCCACAGAAACTCCTTCTCCCTGACGACCCGGGCAGGGAAGGTAAGGTCCGGTTCCCGCAGGTGAGGGAGCTGTCGCCGCCGCCGGCTGAACAGGCCTCTCGGGGGCTGGCGGCTCAGATGCTGTCGGGCGGATCCCGGCTGAGGCCACGCTGCCGTGCTCCCCATGGGCCTTCACGCCTCGGTGCAAGGTCCTCGCAGCCCCGAGGTGGTTACCAGCCCAGGGTCACAGGTCACATGTGCAGAGGGCAGTGGGACCTCAGATCCCCCTGTAGCCCCACGCAGCCTGAGCTACAACAGGATCAGCTTATTCCACATCTCCTGTTCTGACTCCTCTTAGCACAGTCGGAAACACCGTGTGTGCACACAGTGTGCAGAAATACCCAGGAACGGTCAGTTTGAGAAAGAAACAGATTTTGCGTACGTGTGACCAGCAGCCTCCCCGCTGACCGCTCCTGCATGGAAACGGATACACAGATTCCTACTTCATGTCTCCCCTTCGTTCTTTTTCTCTCTAAACCCTCCTGACTGCTCATTTTTTATTTTCTTTTTTTTTCTGAAGGGACTGACTGCAGTGGGGTTAAGCAGAGGGAGCGGGTCACATGTGTTAAAGTGGCGATTCTGAGGTAAATCAGATGAGATCCGGTTCTCTGATCATAAAAAGCCCACGTGCTGAGTTATGGTGCGGCCGTTCCGTCTCCACAGAAGAAAGCGTCGCCTGGTTCTGTGGCTCTGCTGGGGGGTCGCGTCCCCGGAGCGCAGGCGGCGGGTGTCACACCGTGTGTGTTTTCTCCGGCAGGTGGTGATGGCGCTTCTCAAATACTGGCCAAAGACTCACAGTCCAAAAGAAGTCATGTTCTTGAATGAATTAGAGGAGATCTTAGACGTGATCGAGCCGTCGGAGTTTGTGAAGATCATGGAGCCGCTCTTCCGGCAGCTGGCCAAATGCGTGTCCAGCCCCCACTTCCAGGTACGGAGGGCGGGCCGAGCGGCCTCGATGGGAGTCCACATCGGCGGAGGTGACCGGCTTCGGTGCGTCGCGGCCACGCCGTGCGTGTCACGTGGGCGAAGGGAGATGGCCGGTGTAGTCGTACTTCGAGTGGGACGCTAAGACGCTGACTCTGTAAAACACACTGGAGCGTCTCGGCCGCATCACCGACCCCCTGCTTCTCGCTAAGACTAATTAGGAAAGGCTCCTCAGGAAAGCTGTCTTTGTCTTTCTGTTCCGTGTGCCCCAACGGCATCACACCTCACTCCCCACAGCCGAGTGACGGACACTTGGGGACAAAGTGTTTGGCCCTGACACTCCCCGTCTACAAGCACTTGTTTCTGACACGTACACATTCCGACTTTTGTCCCCCCTCACCCCCCAGTTCCTGTTTGAGGGGGCCTCAGTCACCTGCCGCTCTCCCCTCCTGGGTTCCTCACTCAGCCGTTGTGGCCTCATTCTGAGGTCATCCCCAGGACCTTTGTTCAGCCCGTCTGCCTCCCTTGCACGTGCTGGAACGTGTTGTGAGCTCACCCTGAGCAAGGCGGCCCTCCTCCTGACGCCTTCCATGCTGCTGTCTGCCCCAGGGCCTGTCCCCTCTGGGGAATCAATTCTCCCATCCTCTTTCTGCCCTGCGAACGTAAGCTCTGCGAGGGCGGGAGTCCCACTTCACCTTGTCCACTCTGGCGCCTTGGCTCTTCCCGGACCCATGACGGAGGGGAGTGGGCAGAAGGCGGGTGGAAGGGGAGCATTTGGCCCGTGTCCTCCGTGTAGAGCCCGGGGCGCAGCCTAGATGTTCCTTGAAAGAACGGAGAAGTGAGTGAGTGTGTTCTTGGTGGGCAGGAAACCGTCTGCCCTTTGCAGCGGTCTCTTGGATGACGGTCTCGAGTGAGCCAAGTCTGTGGCGCTGACACGGGTGTGATTCATCACCTCCCCACGCAGTCGTGGCGAGGGTCCTGCTGAATGAGTGTTTCTCGTCACGGTCACCACAGTTGTGCCCTGCGTCTTGCAGGTGGCAGAGCGAGCATTGTATTACTGGAACAACGAGTACATCATGAGCCTGATCAGCGACAACGCAGCAAAGATCCTGCCCATCATGTTTCCTTCCTTGTACCGCAACTCCAAGACCCACTGGAACAAGTAAGAAGGGGGCGCGGTGGGGGGCTCCATCCGTGAAGCATCTGCCCTCGGCTCAGGTCATGGCCCCGGGGTCCTGGGATCGAGGTCCGCACAGGGCTCCCTGCTTGGCGGGGAGTCTGCTTCTCTCTCTCCCTCTGCCTGCCGTTCCCCCCGCTTGTGCACTCTCTCTCTCTCTCTGTAATAAATAAATAAAATCTTTTCAAAAATTAAAAGGAAAGACAGGAAAGAGCTGGCTGTCCACTGGGGCATTTAAAGTTCCCCATATGTCGCTGAAACTTCAATTAGGATTGAAATCCAAGCCCGAAATACCGGTTTAAAAAGGAAATACACGTAAGCACTTTGCAGAGACCTTCACCTCGTTGTGAAGGTGAATGCAGGTGAAGTCAATGTACCGAAAGTCCTGGGCCCCTAAGAGGCATCAGCGTGCGGCTCTGGGGGTCGCTGGGGCACTCCTGGCACGGCCCCGCCATTGATACAATGACCTCGTCATTGTATCGACTTTCAGCAGCCTTTTCTCTGCCACATTCATTTTTTATTACGCTCAGCAGGTGGGAGCAAAGGCCTTGGAGCTCAGCCACCATCCCCGTGTGCATTTAGTACAATGCGAGAGGCAGTGGTGGCTGCTGCCTGTTGCATGGAGAGCGGTGTTATTTAAATGTTTCCGGATAAAAGTGGGGTTTTGTTATGAAGTGTGCTACAAAGTCCCCGTGAACCTATAGCAGCAGAAACAGCGGCAGGCCTGGCAGCAAGGAGGGCGGTCACGGGCGGGAGGGGGGTTTTCTGTGGCTGCTCACAAGGCCATGGGCTTCCTGGGCTCCAGCGTGGCCCTGCTGCCCATCTCGCTGCCAGTTTGGCCATCCTCTGAGAGCAGGTGGGACTGGCGTCCTCTCCAGGCTCCACTGGGTCACAAAGCAGCTGTGCCTCCTCCTTCTCCTGGACATCAGAGCCAGGAAGCTGAGCTTTGTGAAGCCATTCTGTGGTCATTTTATTTTGTGTCTTCCAAAGGCCTGTTTTGGCATTATTAAAAAAGTTTTCTACCCTTAAGATGAAAAGGAAACTGACATGTCCTTGATGCTGAAATGTTTCCGTTATTTTCCCCTACACGTTCTGTTTCTTCAAGTGTCAGTGTTTTTTATTCTGTTTCCACGGAAGGTGGCTGCTGTCAGCAGGACAGAAAGCGAGGGGCCCCGGGGCCGGTCCGGAGCGCTCCACGGGCTGCTTGGAAGAGTGACAGGGCTTTGGTTAGAGAGCCCAGGGGCATGTGACAGGGCCGCTGCAGCAGCTGGAGGGTCAGGGGGCAAAGGGCTGTGGCCGAGGAGGGCAGGGAGGTGGGTAGAAAATTGGAGGGTTCAGAGCCTGAACACCAGGGTCTGCTTACAGGACAATACACGGCTTGATCTACAACGCGCTGAAACTCTTCATGGAGATGAACCAGAAACTGTTCGACGACTGTACCCAGCAGTTCAAAGCAGAGAAACTGAAGTAAGTTGCTCCTTTCGAAAGCTACCCTCTCGAGGGTTTTCTCTTCCTCGGGCCTGAATAAAGCTCTTGGGTGGGTGAGTCCTAAAACGCTCCTCGCTTTAAAGCAAAATCGGTCTGTCACCCTCGCAACAGAAATGCAAACACTTGTTACGTTCACTTGTTGGCGGAGAACATCTCTGTGCTCCCCGTTACGGTACCAGTTTAATCACTTCTGAAAAACATGCGTGCAGCCCGGACTTTAGCTTTGCCGAGGAGCGCCGAGGAGCACCGAGGGGCCGGGGGCGTAGGAGCTTTTCAGGTCTATGAGGCCGAGATTTGAGTTCTGTCCCCCGAGGTCTACGTGACTGAGCAAGCATGTTCCTCCCGATGCGGTTTTGCGGGCCCGTGTGGCGCAGGCCTCGTCTGAAGCCTGGCTGGCGTCCTTCACGAAACCCGCGCCCGGCTCTCTCGGAGGAGGACGTCATCGTCAGGTCTGGGCCCTGGGCGGGTTTTCTTGTTTGCTTGTCCCTTGAAGCTAGCTCAGGAGGATACACTTTGCACAAGTATAATTCAGGCTGTGGGATACGCGTAACCAGCGGCCCCGCAAGCACTTCACAGATGGCACGCCCATGCTGTCCAGTCCGTCGGGCCCTGTTGCAGGTTCTGACAGCACAGCAGTGCCTACGACATAAGCGTGGTGTGGAAAGACAGGGACACACACGTGAGGGGGACCCACTGCGCGAGGTGTGGTCTGCAGGGCCGGAGGGAGGCAGGGGCTCGTGCGCATGGAGCCTCCCGGCCTCCAGCTTTGTGGCCCGGACTCCCTCGGAGCCGAGCACGGGGTTCACCCGTGCCTTCCACCTTCCACGCGGTGAGTCTCTCAGCTTTCTGAAAAGGATCTTAAAGATCACGCAGCACATTCTGCAGATTAAAAAGAAGAAGAAGAAATGTTCGGTCGAGGTGAAGGGATTTACAGAAGGTTGTGGGCCTCCGGCGGCGGGAGTGGACGAGAACTGGGTCCGAAGAGGGTTCCTTTTTAAACCCGTCCTTGTCGGGACGTCAACCCTTAGCCTCGGTTCCCGTACACCGTGGAATGGTCTCGCTCTCCACGGCCCCATAAGCTTGTCTTCAGAGTTCTCTAGGTTCCCCCGAGCAAGCAGCGAGAGCAGGACGGTGCAGGCCTGCGGGGCTCGTACGCGTGTCCCGGGGGCCCGCGGTCTCCAGCTGTTCTCCCTGCGGCCTGCTCACTCGCTCAGTCTCTGCCTCTGAGTCTGGCTTGTTTTCCGCATCGCGTGTGCCGTGTCCCATCCCGCGGTGCTCCCCACGGTGAAGCTCGGGGAGTAAGACCAGAAGTGACAGAGGAGAGTAGGTGACCGCTGCTGGTCATGTCAGCGTCGCCTCTCGCCTTCGCTTGCACGTGATCCCTGTCTCTAATACCAATGATATCTTGCTGTTTTTCAGAGAGAAGCTAAAAATGAAGGAACGAGAAGAAGCGTGGGTTAAAATAGAAAATCTAGCCAAAGCAAACCCCCAGGTACTAAAAAGAGTAACGTGAAAACCTCCAGGGTGTTACTGAATGTTTTTATGAGCTGGGAATGTGGGGTCCTCGCGCGAGGGGCGGGGGGCGGTCTCACCAACCTTGTATGTGGGAACGTCTGCGATAAACGTGCTTCTCGACTTCTGTACAAGTAACTGATTGTTGCCCCACAAGGTTTTTACCACAGATTTGATTTTTTTTCCCTCCACTTTTCAACAAGATCTAAATCTTACCAATATACTGTGGTAAAAAGGAAACCAGGGTTCAGCCTCTGTTTGGGGGCCAAGATTGCAATTTGCTTTCTCCCCACAAATGTCATAGACGCTGTCACTCAAGTGGTATGTCCTTTCTTTTTAATATCAAAATCATTTGAAAAAAGTTAGATTTGAAATAGATGAAGTACGAAGTTGGGTGGCCTTTTTCCTAAAACCAGGTTCCTGGAGGCTGAGCCTTTAATTGTTGAAAATTGCCTGACTTCTATCATGTCGGCCACTAACCCTTCCTCCTGACCTAGCTAGAAGCCTCCAGTGCGCTCTGGCAGGTGGGTGCACGTGGTGTGTCCCATGGAGCTGCCAGCAGGTGCAGCGGCGCCCTGCAGAGTGCCCACCGTGGGGCCGGCGTGCGGGATTCTGAGCTGCGTGGTCTTGGGTGTCATGTCCACTGGTCCCGATGGACTGCAGCACTGTCCAGCAAGTGCTCCTTCTGGTTTGGGGCCAGTCTGAAAATCACGGGGGCGCGTCCCCACCGCAGGCACGGTCCCAAGGCTGTCCTCCGCCTCCCAGAAAAGACGAGACGGTACTTTAGGAGAACCATTCAGCTCCCTTTAGAACCATAAAGGGTTCGTGCAGGTGGGCTGAATTCCAAGCAGTCCGCTTTTCCTGGGTGAGAGGTGTGCACAGGTCGTTGGCTAAGTCCGTGCTGCCAGTTTTTCAGTCTGACATCACCTGAAAAGCGGTGCATGAACAGAGGTTTATTAAACATATGTTTGATCTGTGTGACGTCTCGCTTGTACTTCCCTCAAGAAAACCACATTCAGGATATTTAAGCCTTCGGAAACTGGAATGACTTTCTTAAGTGAGGTCCCAGTCCCCGCGTAGAACAACCCAGGAGCGTCCCCTTTACAGCCTCTGTTCTGTGCTCTTCACGGAAACGCTGTTGTGAGGTGACCCGTGCAGGCACACAGCTCTGGGCATCTGCTGTAAGGAACAGGGTGTGTGGCTAAAATACTGACATTTGTTTTTAAGACACAGGAAAAGCGGGAATCTGGGGCAGGTGGAGGCGGGCAGCCCTGCCTGACAGCCGTGTGCAGGGGGCCGGCCGGGACCCCGCCCCCCGCACCCGCCACCTCGACACCCTGAGACGCGTGAAACCATGCACAAGTCAGAGAGCCCACTTCTGTTTATCTTACTGAGATAGAGAAATGATCTCATGGAAACCCGCACGAAGCCTTCCTGCCACAAATGGGAAAGAGCTGGTGGGTTGTGTAACCGGCGTGGCCTGGTTTTCGCTGCTGTGCAGTAACAGGTGTCCCTTCTGAAATAGACACTGCTCTTGTCTCCCTTTTTCTGAGCTGCTCCTGAGTTTCTCTTACACGACGTTTTTACTCCTCTGGGCTGCTCTCTGCGGCGTCCCGGGCAGGCCCTGCCTGTGCTCGCCAGGCGCCGCGGTGACCGTGACGTTCAGGGCGCCAGGCTGACCGTCTCCCTTTTGAACCCGTGTGAGTCACCCCCCGAGTCCCATCTGCACGCGCAGTCCCCGGCGCCACGTCCCCCAAGGAAAATACTTCCTGGGCTAGTAATGTCTCAGAGCTGGAAGCAAGGCCTCAGGACTTGGTCTTCACTTGAGAGAGGAAATCTTTTCCAAGCTCCAGTCACTGTGCCCTTTGTCACAACGACTGCAGGAAGCAGAGAGCTGTGTGGACTACAGCGTGTTTCTTGTTTCCGTCATGGGAACAGTGGGGTCTTCGAGCCTGGCTCCCCATCTCAGGTCTGCCTTCTTGAGGTATGAGTTCATTGCTTCTTCTGCAGGTCTGCCCCCTGAGCGGTGTCTGGAAGTCTCCCCGAGGCTCCCCTGCTCAGATCAGACATGCGCCGTCCGTCCTGCGAGGCTCCGGGAGTCAGCGGAGCCTCCCAAATTTTCGGTTGCGTTTGTTGTGGCCGTTGTGGCAGTTCCGCTGGAGTTGTTGAATACCACGCGTGGTTTAATTTGTTCGAGTCATGGAATACTGAGGCTTTCTCCTGTGAATGTGTTTTCCTAGCCCTCCCAAGAGGCCGGGGAGCAGCTTAGTGCTCGCTTCTCCCTGACTTTGGTCGGAATTGTGTGACGTGAAGACAGGTGCTTCTGTGAACCTTGGGTGCAGCCTTGGGCCCGGGGCATGGGGCCCGGCTGGCCGCTTTCCCTTGAGCGGTGGGCGTCTCTGGGCGACGTGGGTGTTCCTTGACCCTGCCGTGGACTCCAGCCTCGACAGACAGTTTTATCCCTTGTAGGAATCCTCTCCTGCCGGGGCCTGCTCTGTGGCCCTCCCTTGGCTGGGACCATTTTGTAACATTCTCGTTCGTTCTTCTTTTCACTCTGAGCCCCAGTGAGGACTGGCCGCGTGCCGCTCTCAGCACGGGCACGACGAGTCCTGCGCTTAGTTGTGCTTCTGGGAGCCCCTGGGGGCGCGGCACCTAGGAGACAGCCGCTTCCCTCGGCAGATGGGCCCCAGCTGGGTGTCCTGAATTGTGGAACCTTCCCGAGATACAAAGATGAGAGCAGGACACCGCTCCGAGGGGCTCAGGGATCCATGAGGGGAGCCAGATGGAGGCAGAGAGAATGCATTCAGATAGCCAGATCGTAACACACACGGGGACATGCTGGAGAGGAAGGCAGACAGGAGGTCTGCTTCCTGCCTCCACCTGGGACACAGAAAGCCACACTGGGGTGGCCGCAGTCACGGTGTCCCCAGCAAGAGGGCTGAACCCCTCACAGGGGAAGTCTCAGCCACCCAGTCTGGATCTAGGGGAGGTTCCCAAGGCAGAGAGGGCAGAGGATGGGAGCCGGGTTGTTGAGCACAGGTGGACTGTTGGCGAAGAAGGAGGGGAGCTGGGCGTGGTCTGTGCTTGGGAGCAGCTGGAGAGGGGACAAATGTGGGTGTTTAGCCCCGAGAACAGGGGCAGGTCTTAGAGTCCTGAAGAGCAAAGTGGCCTAGTCAGACTTGGATTTCAGAAAGTTCTTTCTGGCAGCAACACGTCTGGTGCCTAGAAGGGGCGGCACCCAGGCGCTCTCGCGTGTGTGGCCGTGGCGGCGTGGATGGGAGTGTCAGGTGCTTGGGCGCCCAGTGGCATGGGAAGGAGGAAGCCGGCCGAGCCGAGGCTCCACGGCCACGGGCTTCCAGTGCGTAGCCCAGCTGTTGGGCAGAAGCGAGTCACGGAGTTTGGCTAGAGGGCTGAGACACGTGGCGTGTAGACGAAGGGGCGGATGGATAACAGCTCCAGGGAGTTAGAGCGTGGGGCAGGAGAGTGAGGTCGCAGGTGCCAGCCTGGGCGGGGAGGGGAGGCTGTGGGCATGAAGTGCAGGCCAGAGGAGTGCGTGCACCCAGGCGCCGAGTGAGGTTGCCCGAAGGGCGCCGTCCCATCGTCCCTCGGGCCCCAGGGACCAGGGGAGCCTTGGAGGGGAGGCCGTAGCCGATGTCCCAGTCCCACCCGGTGCCACTGGGCCTGGAAGAGTAGAAGCGGGCTGGTTTCCGAGGCCCTGCGGGCACAGGCTGGTTTAACGGCCACCCTACGGGCTGCAGGAGAGGGCCCGGGGGGGGGGGGCGGGCGCCGGAGGGAAGACTTGCCCCAGCCAGGACGCCAGCCTTGCAGCCTGGGACCCGCGCCCAGAGAGTGACTGCGCGCTTTGCATTGCAGTACGCAGTGTATAGCCAAGTGAGCGCCGTGACCATTCCGGTTGCAATGGAGACAGACGGGCCTTTATTGGAAGATGTGCAGATGCTGAGAAAGGCCGCCAACGAAGAGGCTCGCCAGGTAACACGCACAGAGCGAAGCCGGGGCGCCCGTGGTGGGCTTGCCCGAGCCCGAGCACTGGAGCCCGGCCGGAGGGATGCGCTCTCCGTCGCTGCTTTCTGGGCAGGCTCCCCGGTCCGGGTCAGCTCACGGGAGGTACCTTGTCTGCACCTCAGGGAGCAAACGACTAGAAATCGTTGAGTCTCGAGGCTGCGCCTGAGATGTGAGTCTTGTCTTCATTCCCACCAGTAACGGTCTCAGCCGCTAACCGTCTCTGGAGCGTGAAGCCGAAGGCTTCGCAGAGCGGGAAGTGGCGTCGTTCCACCGTCTTCCCCGTTAGCCTCCCGCTCACGCTCTGGCCCAGGGACGTCCCCGGTCGGCAGCCCGTGGCAGCCCTGGGGCCGAGCCCCGTCTCCCTCCCCAACAGCAGAATGGCACTGCCTGGTGGGAAGGGGCCGGAGCCGGGGGCCTTGTCGGGGTGACTCCTGTGCTCAGGTGGTTTGTCCCCACGGTGGTGGGGGTACGTGTGCAGACCCCCACCCATCCAGAAACCAACCGCATTACCGAGCTGGGAACACGCAGACAGTGGGGGCTTCAAAGAGGGCAGGTGTCCCGCCTGTGCGTGAGGAGCCTGTCCTGGCCGTGTTTCTCTCGGGGGGCGGGGGCCTTCCTGACTCTGGAACCTTGAGAATCCCTGACGACACCCAGCACTAAGATTCCGAAGGGGCCGAGGTCGGGTGGCTGGACGCAGGCGGAGTACCGATGCTCATGTCGTTCACAACTCACTTGAGCAGAGGTTTTAACTCGGGCAAATTTCACTCCCCACTTGATCAGACGGGACGGGGTGTCAGCAAGAGCACAGGCCCGCCACCGCCCGGACCACGCTGTCCTGACTCGTGGCTGCGAGCCCCGTGGGGCTGCTGAGCCCTCACAGCGTGGCCGTCTGCACCGAGCTGCACTGACAGCCCAGAGCACAGGAACCCCCAGGCTCGACAGGAAGAAGCGAACGCAAAAGCATCTCATTCGTAATTTTTTACTCTTGCTTTATGTTGAAATGACAACATTTTGGATATATTGGGTTAAATTTTGAAACGCTGTTAAAATTCATTTCACCTATTGCTTTTTACTTTTTTAATGTGGCGACTAGGGAATTTGGAGTTCCATACTTGGAACATGTTTTGTTTTGTTTTTTTCCCAACCGGACGGCATTGGTCCAGAGTCATTTTGCACAGGGCTGCCCAGAGAGGCGGCTGCAGTGACCACCACGTGCATGCCCCTTCTTGCCCAGCCAGCTCCCAGCCTTAGCAGAAGATCAACACTTCAGTACCAGAAATACAGTGGGGAAACTCCGTAAACGCCTACTGGATGTCAGTGACTTATTTTGACTTAGTTCAGTTGGAGTCCATAATTGTTAGCAGTGAACAGATATAATAAAAACTCAAAAATCCCCATTTTTCTCTGTCCTCCCTATGGGGACATTGATTTTCCTGCTTCACTTTTTTTTAACTGGAAGAGGAATTTGAGGTCATTTTTTAAATTGCCATTTTGATTTTGTGGCTTGAAATGTACTAAAGACATGAGAGCTCACCCAGTGCTTACAGACACAGATATCAAGCAGCACCCCTCATACCGGGAGCCCTGCCCGGGAATCTGGGACAACATTAGAGGGGTTTTTTGTTGTGTCATGTGTTTTGTTTTGTTTTGTTTAAAGATTTTACTATTTATTTATTAAGATTTTATTTATTTATTTATTATTAAGAGAGAGAGAGGGCATGAGCGGGGAGAAGGTCAGAGAGAGAAGCAGACTCCCCACAGAGCTGGGAACCCGATGCAGGACCCTTGGATCATGACCTGAGCCGAAGGCAGACGCTTAACGACTGAGCCACCCAGGTGCACCACCACCTTAGTTTTTAAGTCGTGTAGACCTTTCAGCAATGGACAGGAAACTGATGGTTCATAAGCCAGTTCTGACACATTAATTATTTGGGGTTTGAAAGTTTGGGGGGGGGGTTTAGTCCATCCTTGGCCCACTGAAGGTCATAATTAATGCTAGGAAAAGAATGGCCTATGTCCAAAACGTAAAGAACACGTAAATTATGGTCTTATTTATGATTCCTCTATGAGGGATCAAGTATTTGATCCAGAAGGCAAATCGAAATAGCATTCTCATCGTGAGTGGGAAGCGGCCCTGGTTGATCCGTCCCGTGCCCTCGGCGGTGTGCATCTTTCCCTGTAACACAAAAGGCTCAGTCTCTACTCATGCACCCACCTGGTTCTGACTGACACAAGGCAGACAGGTGGTTCCTGGAGAACTCCTGTGGCGTGTGTTTCCGTGACTCTTGCGAGGTGATGTAACTAACTTTTCTGCATAATAATTTCTTCGATCTCTACAATCACGCTCCTGAGTTGAAGACTCAATGGCATTAAAACACCCGTTCTCAGGGGCGCCTGGGTGGCTCAGTGGGTTAAGCCTCTGCCTTCGGCTCAGGTCATGATCCCAGAGTTCTAGGATTGAGCCCTGAATCAGGCTCTCTGCTCAGCAGGGAGCCTGCTTCCCCCTCTCTCTCTGCCTGCCTCTCTGCTTACTTGTGATCTCTCTCTCTCTGTCAAATAAATAAATAAAAATCTTAAAAAAAAAAATCCGTTTTCCCCAAATTAATGTGATCCCAATCAGAACCCCAGCATACTTTTTTTTTAATGACATACGGATTCTAACATCCACACGGCAACACAAAGGACCCAGAATAGCCAAACAACTTTGAAAAAGGAAAGAACTGGAAGACTAATACCATCTGATTTTAGGGCTTGTTGCGGATTTTGGTGAGTCCATTGAATCCCGCCCCATTTCAAGCCAACTAGGTGAAGGTATTTCTAGTGCAGTCTCATAGGTATAATATTTGATATAATAGACTCTCCTGAATTTGAAAAATGTTGGAGTCCTATATCCTGAAAATCCCAAAACCATCGTTAAAGCAAAGAGAAAAATACCTCGATGCGGGAGAACTTGATGTGCACAATTTGGAGACCAAATCACATACAAAGTTATAGCTAAAAATTAAAGTCTGAGTATTTTCAGGGCCCTTTTAATTTTATCTCTGGCTAATTTTATTTTCCAAAAATAATTCCACATTTCTTTAAAATGACTTGAATGTTGGCCAGGATGGGAGACATGGGAGAGGTAAATGGCAGAGGAGGGGAGGAAGTGGGGTACGGTTGGTTGGAATTCTGTGGAGAAATTAGGTATTGACCTGTCAGAGCCATAATTTGCATTTTTATTTTGGGGGAGGGGGGTAGGGAGGAGCTTGTCTAACCCTCCATGGAACATCCAAAGAGAAGTAGGAAATTTCATGTGAATGACATTTATACCGGAGACGTTTAAAATGTTAACAATTCTCATTTTTAACAGTCGGTCGGGAGAAAAGCAGTGTCAAGCACGCAGATAAGGAAGGTGTAGAGAGACGGAAAGGTGGGCAGTGAAGGTACTCCTTACTCCATACATAGAGTGTGTTTAAGGCTTGTATGCTTAGGACAAGATTTGACAAATAATGCTATGTACCTGAAGTATTTTCCCTTTTCTCCCTGTCATTCCAGCTGCTGATGGTAAAGACAAATCTGGTCCCTTGAGACATTTTGGGGGTTAGCTGTGTCCTCAGCTGCATAGTAAAAACGGGCAGGATTATGTTTACCCCCTTTGTGTCCTGCTCCCACTTCCTATATGGAAACTCAAGCCTCGTAGATCTGCCCACACGCGGCAGACGGAGGCCGTGCCTCACGCTCCACCTGCTTACCGCGTCGGCCCACGGCCCACACGCCCCCGCCCAGCCTGCCCCTTCGGGGTGACCGTGCGCACGCCCTGTCGTCCTTCCCCGCCTGCTGTCTTTCTGATCTTTCTCCTCTTGTCACGCTCTGCCTGACACCCCAGTCCGAGATGCCCGCGCAGGAAGCCCGGCGCGTCCGGCCCACTGTCCTCGCAGATGTTCCCAGGTCCTGTGTGTTCTCTGCATTTGCACTTCTGGTTCCAGTTCCCCAGTTTCGACCGTGGCCTTTTTCTGCTCACGTGTTTCTTCTCCTCGGAATGCCTGTTCGAGCAGGGGTGAACCATACCGAGTCTGTGAAAGTCTGGGTTTGGCTTGGCTTCGCTTGGCTTTGTTTTCAGAGTAGAATTGTTCCCTCTTGGGTTCCTTGTGGGCCAAAAGCAAACACGCCCGGCGCTGTGCCCCTCACAGCCCCCTGATGGGGGTGCTTCTCCCGAAGCCGCCGGCACTAATCCCCGGGGGCAAAAAGCCAGACTCCCGCCTCTCCCATAAATGAGTGTGAATATTCACGTCACATTTCTAGAAATATTCCCAGAACATCACACAAGGCTCTTTCTAAACCTTGATGTCCCTGCCTTTTCCGCAGATAAATCTGCAAAGAACCCTGAGAAATACTTAGCTCTGCAAAAACGTGAACTTTCCACGTTTGGCTTCTGTGGGTTCTAGAATTGCTTCTAAAAGCCAGGAGAAGTGTACTTTACGCGGAGGTTAGATATCCCCAGACTCTGAGAGGTGGCTGTGGTTTTGTCCCTTTTGTTGTCAGACGATTGACCTGAAATGAATTTCCTCTGATAAGGCTTTTGTTCACTACCACGGAAGTCAGTCCGTTCTCTTTAAAGTCTGTCTCGTCCATGGAGACGCCAAGCAGAAGCGCTTGCTTCTGGCTGAAATGTAGAGCTAATTGGCAGCCCTCTGGTGCCTTCGCTGTGTTCAGATGATTTCCGTGGCTTGTCTTGTTTCAGAAATACTGGTACGGATGCCCTGGCCCTGCCCCGAAACCGACTGACTTGTTCACCTGTTACTTACGGGAACGGGTGCCTTCGGTATAAACACCCTGTATCAGCACCCCCACCCCGCTTCTGTAGCAGACACCGTTCTCTAAATCCTTGTGCAAAACTAGGATTCTTTTTTTTTTTTTTTTTTTTTTTTTTTTAAGTAAAACCACAATGTCCTAAACCTCAGGAAGACAATGTTGTGGGGGAGGGAATCTTTTATTTCTTACTCTTAATACTAGGAAATTTCATGTGCATAATTAAGTACCATTTTTTTGAAGTTCTAGCGGGTTTGTTCCCCGAAGTGACCCACATAATGCCTCTTACTCTAAGGACCTTTTTTTCAAATTGAATAGACGTTTTGGACCTTTTCTTTAAATCCAGTTTCAATGTGGTTTTCATTCATTGTTTTTATTTCCCTCCAGAGGAAATTTCCACTTTCCGAACGGCTTCTGTAATGGCCATGGCCACAAAGATGCCTTCAGTAGCATTCACTGCAATGGGGTTTTGCTATTGAGGACATTTCCTAGAACTGGTGAACTTGCAAAAAACAGAGGTACCGAGTACTGGGTACGGAAATACACTTTTCTAGGAACCCAAACTGCCAGTGTTTTGTGCACACCGTCCTTCCCACTAGCCGCTAGGCCACTGCCGGTGGCCACGCCCGGTTTGGGGCGCTTGTTCCTCCGTCGGCCTCAGAATGTGGGTGCTGGGCACCCGGCTCACGGCTGCCCTTTGACTTAGCACGCAGACATGAGCTCCGTCCTCCGACGGCTTCACTCGTAGCCAACGCCGCTGCCTTTGTAATTCCAGGCCCAGAAGGATCTGAAGAAGGACCGGCCTGCCGTGCGCCGCAAGTCGGAGCTGCCTCAGGACCGCCACACCAGGAACGCCTTGGAGGCTCACTGCAGAGCTGACGAGCTGGTCTCCCAGGACGGGCGCTAGCCCCCCGGAGGACCGCTGCGGCCTGGGGGTGCCTGTTCTCTCCCGGATTCTGTAGAAAGTACATCCTTTTTGTGCCATACAAATCAGTTACACTCAGAGTCAGAGCTTTCTTCGACCCCGTTCTGTAGGCAATAATGCACTTCTGCCTCAGCTCGCGATTAGGAGTTCAAACAATGGTGGCTTCTCGGAGGGGTCAGCAGAGCCGAGGGCTGCCGGCCGCGTCCCCCGCGAGTGGGCCCAGCCCCGGCGCAGCCCCCGTAAGACTGTTTCCCAAAATCAGAGCTAAGGAGAGCACCCTGGTCATCCTCTTCACGTTCTACCCAACCGGAATTCGTGATCATTTATACAAGTGGTTCTATGGTAATATCACTGTTCTGCAAATCAAAGGAACACTTTAAAAAAGTATTACCTATTTCTGAAGACTTTACAAACCTTTTCCGTTGTTTCTCCGTGATTGTTAAGCCAGTAGCTTTCTCTCTCTCTCTTTCTTTCTTTCTCTCCTCCTCTCTTTCTTTTTCTTCCTTTCTTTTTATCTCACTGAGATGGTTATTTGCTGTCCTCGTTCTAACATGACTTACTGAGAAAAGTGACATGACAATCCTCGGCCGCCGTGTTTTCAGATGGTATCTCTTTCCTTTGATGGGTGACATCTGTGCGCTGTCACTTCTTTTGTGTACTGCTAAAGCCATATTTCCAAGCCAGGGGCCCAGCACCAGGTACCCCAGGAGTTAAGCTCACAGGAGAAACTTACCTTAAAAGAGAGCTTTCTCTGCCTACCTTGACTGGAATTGGAATTTTCAAATGATGTGTCCCCCCCCTCTTTTTTTTTTTTTTTGTTTGTTTGCAGACTTTTATTTTCTCTAAACATTGTTGCCCTTTCACAAGGCTCTAGAATTAATAAAGTTATCATCTCTGAGAATCCATTTTCTACATTTTATAAAAGGTCAGAACGAGATCATCTTGAGTCGGGCCAGATCTTGGCCCATCACGAGCTGCAGCCTGCCTCTGGGCGGAAAGTAACAAGAGTGCCCCGGTCCATGCAAGGCGCCGCCCTGGTGTCCCCTGGCTGCCGGGACGTGGTCCCCAGGCGCCAGTGGGCAGTGGTGGCGGCAGTGCGAGGGCTTACTGTGACCCTGTCCAGGTGAACAGAGCACACATTATAAACACCTCATGAGGGAAATACAGCTTCTAAGTCCCCATTGGTCTTCAAATGCTGCTATTAAATTTCACGGACTTCCTTGCATGTGTCTAGCTTTTCGTTTGGAATGGAAATAGCACGAGGAGAAAAACCTCTACCCTTAGTGCTTCGTCTGCTCTGTATCTCTCTCAGGGTGGCCCGTGTTTTGACTTATTTATCCTGCTTGAGAGCTGTTGGAGACGTGTCCCTATTCTGAACAAATGACTCTAGTTTCTCTTGTCTCTGGCATAAGATGAGATTAAGTTCATGTTAAATGTCTTGATGCATAAAAAGATAAAACATGGCTTCTTTTATTTTAATCGAGGTCTCGGGTGTCCACGGAAACGTGGAAAGCAGACACGGTTCCCCGGCCGTGGTGCCTGCTGCCCCTGGTGTCACTTACGTCCACACACGATGTTGATTTCCTTGTGTCCCTGGAGGAAGGTCATGGGGGGTGGGGGGGGGTCTGGGCTAGGAGCCAAGTCAAGTACTAACTAAAAAGATTGCCCCAGCTGAAAGTGGGAAAGGCCACTTTTCGAGAAGAAACACTTCCTGAGAAACTTGACAAGTAATCTATCCATTTTACCATTATGAAATCTATAATTTAAAAAAAGTTTAGATGCCTTTTCCTTTTGAAGGAAAGAGGGTGCTTTTTATTGTATAAAGCAGCGTCTTCTGTATTTTGATATACCATTGTTTGAACTTCTGTCTTTAGCTGATAGATTCTCAAATATCCTTGATTTTGGATGTTTAGTGTGTGTGAGAGAGGGTTCTAGGAAGACTCTCTTCTGCCCTAGGTAAAAAGCAAAATATCCACAATTTGGGTGACTGTATAAAGCTCAGCCTGTAAGAACACCTTTCTGTCTAGGTTTTATTTCTGCTCTTTATTGAAGACAAACATTCACCAAAAAGGGGGGGGGAGTTTTGAGAGAGACTAATTTTCTTTGACAAGACTATTATTTAATATTTTGGCCTATTAAAGTTTTCCTAGTTAGTACTCCGATTCCCTGTGCTAATTGTTCAACTTACATATTATTATATAGATACACTGTTTATTCTGTACCAAACTGATTTCAAACAGTACTACATTGAAAATAAACCGGTGACTGTTTTTCTTCATAAAGTTCTGCGTTCGGCATCTTCACTCTTTCCAAAATGTATCTGTACATCAGAAATGTCACTATTCCGAGTGTCTTTTTAGTGTGGCTTTAGTACGGCTTCCTTTTAATATTGTACATACATTGTATCTTTGTTTTATGGTAACAAGTAATAAAAATGTAGACTTCATATTTTGTACAAAATGTCCTATGTACAGAATAAAAAAGGTTCATAGAAACAGCAAAAATAGGTAAGTGGCACAATTATTTTTCTTTAGAGGATATCTGTAACTTTACGCTCTGGTGAAATGTTAAGTACCTACATATTTTTTAACATTTTGTAATTCAAGACTTTTTGTTCTGACATTGTTTATGAAGAGAAAACTTCATACACGTGCCATTTAATATGCTCTTTTATCCAATTTAAAAAAAAAAAAAACCTCTAAAAATGGTGTATTATATGGACTAAATAAAGAACATGTGAATTTTATTGCTCATCATGAAACTAAATTTAGCCATGGTGTCAGGCCAGCCGGGCCTGGCGGGTTAGCAGGCCTCCCCTCGGGCAAGAGGACATCCTCGCTGGGGCCGACGACCGGGAGACGGGGAGCAGAGGCCCCAGCCCAGCGTCCCCGGCTCACTCTGTGAGTTCGTGGCTCACCTCCCTCGGGGAATAAAGTAGGGGTGCCTTTCTCCGCCCCCACTCATCTTTGAGGAGGCAAACGTGAGTCAGAGCACAATTTATAGAAATGGAATTATCTGAGCCCGAATCATGATGCTTAAAATGATTCTTGAAAAGAAACCAGTGTCTTGCAGACAGAGTAGAATCACAGGGAATCCGAATCCAGGGTCTCAGCTCACCCACCCCCTTCCTGATGGGGAACCTCAGTCTCGCTGAGGCTGAGAGCGAAAAGTCAACAAAGGGGGCCAAGACTCAAGGTGTCTCCTTGAGCCATTGCCACAAGCCACCCATGTCCTTGGCCACCACGCTGGGTCGACATTCCAGCAGGCAAGAGGTGACCTGTGCACCTCCGTACCCGTCTCCATCACATGGCCTCCCAAGGCCCTCTTCCTGGTGGGGAGTACGGGACACGTGGCTCTGGAGCTGGGGCATGTGGCAGGGCTGAGCCCATGGTCACTCTGGGGCAGTTCGGAGAGCCGCACGTACCCCACTTCATGCAGGACACCCTAAATGTGGCGCCACTAGGAGCTGGCCGTGACCTCGGACCAGGCGTCCCTTGCCTCCCATCCTGGAATCGGGGAAGCGCCGTGTCTGGTAGCATCTGTGGGTCGGGGACCCCCGAGGGAACTCAGGAGGTGGACGCACGCCCCAAGCCCAGTGTCGCACGGCTCCTGTGTCAGGCTGGCAGGTGGACCCCGCTCTGTGCAAGCAGCACCTGCCCCGGGGCCGCTGGAGGCGGTGCGGGCCCACTCGGTCCTGGGGCCCACTCGGTCCTGACGCCCACCGGAGCCTCTGCCGCGGGTCCCCTCCTTGACGGGTGAGGACGGGCACGCAGAGGACAAGTCACTTGCCCGAGGTCACAGAAGTACCGAGTGGCGCCAGGTTTCAGCCCACGCAGCGTGGCCGCGGAGTCACCCCCGCGCCCCCCTCCCCTCGTCACACCGGAGGAACACCTGGGTCCCGCGGAGCCGGGGGCGCGGGGGAGGGGGCCGCCAACACGCGGGAGGGCTTCTGACCGTGCCCTTCACTTCTGGAACTGGAGGAACCTGCAGACCAGCCCGTCCCGCGGCCCTCGCACACGCTGCAGAAGCTGCCTCCGTAAGCTTAGGGTTCGCCATGGTTTCACGAGTCAGAAAACCCCGACGCGTTCTCCAGCTTCAGCCCTTTGCACACCACCGGCTCGCGAGTCAGCTTGGGAACCCCGAAACGCGTCAGAACCTCCGCCGCCCTTTGTTAATACACGTGCTTTTACGGAAGAGTTCACTTCGGGGGAAAAGTGGGCTCCACGATCCAAAAGTTTGAAATCCACCAAGACTGACTTTTTTAGAGAAGGAGATGGGAGGAGGAGAGGCAGACGGCACCCCGCTCTGGCCCGCAGGCTCCGGTCTCTGTGCTTTTTACAAAAGCGTGACGAAAATCGCACAGCACTTTGCGGGAGTGGAGGAAAGAATCTCTAATTCATCTTTTTTTTTTTAAGATTTTATTTATTTGAGAGAGAGGACGAGCAGTGAGGACGGACAGAGGGAGAGTGAAAGAGAAGCAGACTCCCCACTGGGCAGGGAACCCGATGTGGGACTCGATCCCAGGACCCGGACATCATGACCTGAGCCACCCAGGTGCCCCCCGAATTGATCTTTCTTCTGATCAGGGGAAACACGGCCTGGTTTCCTCCTGTGGGCCGTTAGAAACAGCTCGCCAAATTTCACCTGGAGCTGAACTCAGCTTCGTGGTTTATTTTATAGGTTGACACAGAACCGATTACTAGTCAGTCACAAGAATTTTCTGACCCATCTTTTTTTTCCCCAGTTTTCCTGAGTTGCACTCGGCACTCAGCTGGGTGTCAGTCCCAGGCGCAGCGGACTCACGCAGTCTTGTGAAATGACCACAGTAAGTCTAGTTAACCTCCGCCTCCTGGCTAAGTGACCCCAAAGAAAGCCACCCAGGTTCCTGTAGTGAGAGCAGCCAGTGAGAGACACTCGGGTGAACACCCCATTGTCTGGGGAGCAACAGCGAGCAGGAAACCCACAGAGCTTCGAGGAACCCCTGGAATCAGGTACGTTCAGGAAATCCCTTTTATGCAGTGGGTCTGGTCCCGGAGGCGTCTCATGGAGGTGCTCGATCTCTCCCTGTCTCTCCCACATGTGCACCCCGACCCGCTCACGCCGGCACCATGCACAGAGTTGGGCTGTGGGTCCCTGGGCGTACTGGGGGGCCTGGGCACTTAAAGTGTCATGCTGAGGGGTCAGCCCTAAGGTTCCCTGTCCGCCTCACTCAGGTGTGGTCACCTCATCAGCGCCTTCGTTACTGTCTCCAAAATGCATCTTGGAGAACTCGGCCTCCAGTGGAATGTGGATGTAAGGGCACCTGGTAACCAGCGAGGGCCCCTTTCCTCCGGGGTTTTCTCCTGGAGCCCCTCGTGCCGCTAACGCACGGCGGAGGA